TGATTAAACCAGTTAGGTTTAATCAACCACTAACTAAACAAAGGCAAAGTGCATCTTAACTGAAAGTTCTAATTTTCCTGCAAAGAAAGTAGTGATATTCACTTAAGGAGATTTCTTTTTAAAATTTGTTTTCTTTTTGTAAGTGATCATTAATGGCACTTACAGAGAGAAAGTTTCAACAGCAAAATGTAAAGGAAATCCTAGAGGGTATCACAACGCTACACAAAGCACCATGTAGATGTGCCAGAAACACACCAAGACAAAAAGATGATGTAGTGGAGGGGTTGGTGTTAATCTGATTCTAGTAAGAACAAAAAAAAAATCCTATTTCAGCAAACTTCACAAATATTGAATAAGCACCTGGTTAATTTCTCCTTCTAAAGATGCTGTCTACTGTTAGCATCCTGACAGTATGATTAATTCTATGTTAAGAAACAGTTTATTTCTCTTGGACAGACTTCTCCCCAGCATTTATATTGGTATACCTATACAACTACAGTCCAAAAGGAGCTTGGTGGTGGCCAGCCATCAGGCACAACTCATGCAGGCTGGTAACACAATACATGTCTCACCTGAAAGAGGACTATGGCAAAGTAATGCTTTAGAAAACACCTGGGCTACAAAACAACTTACAGCAGTTCAACTCAGAAAAGAATCACCACTACCATCAGCTGTTACAAAGCCAAATTTAAGCCCCAGCCCAAAGCAGATGATTCAGGGCTCATACACACTTGCAGGACAAAACTCCAGAAGTGCTAAAAACATTTTCAAGGAAAAGGGGGAGGCAGACCACAAGTGAAATTCACATTACTTTGGTCAAATGGAATTTTAAGACTTTAGAGCGCTTTACGGATCTATTAAAAAACAGTAATAATGCCATAGGCAGTAAGCTTTTCCTTAATATCAAATTAATTCATGCCAAATAGGTTTTGCGTGAGATTTTTCTACAGACATACCTGTCCATCCAACCACGCAACTCCCACTTATAATACAAGCTATTACCCTCCCACACACACAGAACAAGTAAATCCCAGCAGAAATGCTTCCTTGCAGTACTTCAATTCTGAGAACATAATTACTTGTAATTTTGTATGTGAAGACAGTCAGGTGCCCCAGTGTCTGTGACCAGACACAAGTGTTCTTATGTCAAAGGATCTGTGTTTTAGATTAAGTTCCACTCTCTGCACTCATGCCTTCGTAAATCCACAGAAAGTTACAGACTTTGGTGGGAAACTGTCTAGACGCCCAGGCCCCTCAACTCCTTTATCACCCAACAAACTGCCCCAAAATAACCAAACAAAAACCCAGCATTTCCTTCTGCTAGTTATAATGATGAAGAAACACCTCACTCATTTCCAGATCAGATTGTTCCTGACCTGCTAGAGCAGAGCAAACAGATTTCTTTAGTAACCAACAAGAAACCCTCAGAAATTCTGAAAATAGGAAGCAATAGAGCTCTCCAGATTGACTGAATTTGAGGCCTTCCAATTACTTCAGTTAATGGTTTTAAATGCAGTATTATGCTTCAGTATTCACACTCAATTGCCTCATCTAAACTATCTTTCATATACCTGTTAAAGAACAATTGATAAAAAAGTGAAATTATTATAATTCAAATAACAGTAATTTCCTTAGACTTGTGGAGCCTACTCTGCACAGTAAGTCCTGGGTAACCTAGGAAAGCCCTTCAACTTCAATACCACATAGCATAAGCTAACATTAAGTACATTTAAATTGCTCAGGTTAATGGATAAGGAACTTTAAAGAAGCACATACCAAATCCATGATTGCTTAACTCTTGTCAGTTTTTACTTTATTCTTCCATTTTACTTATATTCACACCATCTGCAAGTATTGATCATGTGGTTAAACAATCTTGTGTTTGTTCAGACGAAGTAAACTCAGAACCAGTTTGTATGATCATTCAGTAACACATACACTCTGGGTTGATTTGCAGGTGCCAGCTATGAAGTCACTCAGCAACTCTTACAGACTGAGCTCCAAATCACAGAAAACACACTCCATAACAGATACTCAGATGGTCAAGCAGACAACCACACTCAACCTACAAGATCACTACTCATTTATTGGATCTTACATAGTAAGAGCAACTTTTGTAAACCTTGTTTCAGCTGTTCTGTTTAGAACTTTTATCAGATTCCCTATCCCAAACAACAGATAAAGACATCAACAGAGCCGAGTAAATAAATAAACAAGTTAGAACTGTAGAATCATAGAATAGTTAGGGTTGGAAAGGACCTTAAATCATCAAGTTCCACCCCCCGTGCCATGGGCAGGGACACCTTGCTCTAAACCATATTACCCAAGGCTCTGTCCAACCTGGCCTTGAACACTGCCAGGGATGGAGCATTCACAACCTCCCTGGGCAACCTATTCCAGTGCCTCACCACCCTAACAGGAAACAATTTCCTCCTTATAGCAATCCAAACTTCCCCTGTTTAAGTCTGAACCCATTACCCCTTGTCCTGTCACTACAGTCCCTAATGAAGAGTCCCTCCCCATTATCCCTATATGCCCCTTCAGATACTGGAAGGCTACTATGAGGTCTCCATGCAGCCTTCTCTTCTCCAGGCTGAACAGACCCAACTTTCTCAGCCTGTCTTCATATGGGAGGTGCTCCAGTCCCCTGATCATCCTTGTGGCCCTCCTCTGGACTTGCTCCAACAGTTCCATGTCCTTTTCATGTTGAGGACACCAGAATTGCACACAATACTCCAGGTGAGGTCTTACAAGAGCAGAGCAGAGGGGCAGGATCACCTCCTTCGACCTGCTAGTCATGCTCCTCTTGATGCAGCCCGGGATACGGTTGGCTTTCTGGGCTGCAAGCACACACTGAAGCTGGCTCATGTTCATTTTCTTATCAACCAACACCCCCAAGTCCTTCTCCGCAGGGCTGCTCTGAATCTCTTCTCTGCCCAGCCTGTAGCTGTGCCTGGGATTGCTCTGACCCAGGTGTAGGATCTTGCACTTGGCATGATTAAACTTCATGAGGATGGCATCAGCCCACCTCACAAGCGTGTCAAGGTCCCTCTGGATGGCATTCCTTCCCTCCAGTGTATCAACCCAACCACACAGCTTGGTGTCATTGGCAAACTTGCTGAGGGCGCACTCAATCCCACTGTCCATGTCACCGACAAAGATGTTAAACAAGACCAGTCCCAACACTGATCCTTGAGGGACACCACTCATTACTGGTCTCCAGACGGCCATTGCGCCATTGATCCCAACTCTTTGCATGCGGCCATCCAGCCAGTTCTTATCCCCTGCGTGGTCCATCCATCAAATTGATGTCTCTCCAATTTAGAGACAAGGATGTCATGTGGGACAGTGTTGAACACTTTGCACAAGTCCAGGTAGATGACATCAACTGCTCTAAGTCATTTAGCATAAAAGCTCTGTGTCATCATAAACCACTTGCTCAGACAGATTAGCAGAAAGTAAAATTGGCAACTGACAAAGTACAATAAAGTAGCATTAGAAAAAGACTGCTAAAAATAAACAGACACAACTAAGTGACTTTTCCCTGAAAACGTAATGGAAAAAAGCTAAGTTTCTTGGACATACAGATTATACATGCTATATGTCAGCCTTATTAAATATTTAACCTGCTCCCAAATACAACTAACAGGTAATTCTAGATTCAAAGATTCACAAGCAATGACTTATTTGTAATTTCATCAGATTACATGAAAGCAACCCTTAAAATCACTCACAGTAAAGAGTCACCATTTCTACAAAAAGAGATGTAGGGTTTTTTTAATTTTTAGTCATGCATTTTAGTCCTACATTTTAGGTGTTAAGACATGTTTATTTGGTTTTTTAAGAAAACTACAGGAAGACCACATAAATCAACAGACAGGTGTAATGTGAATCTAGCACAGAACTGCAGTAACTGAATGTCAGTAAAGGGCCTTCTCTGCATCTACACTGAAGCAGTCTACTTCTATGGAGGTAAGCATGTGTCCAAACCATACCAAACATATTCATTATCACTCACAACTGGCACACCTCCAGCATATGGAGTAAGACCAGCTCCTTAAACTTTCCAGGAAGTACTGCTGTAGTACTCCTACCACTGATTTAGCCCCACACGAGTCAGCACCATAGCATCACTGGCATTTGTACAATTTAACTCTGTCACTTACAAATTCTTTACTCTCACGACACCAAGATCCCAGCCAGGCCCGTGTTCTTACTGCTTGGGATCACTTAATATAAGCAACAGCAGGTTTTGGCAGGCTTGTGTGTGTGTGTGTTTGTTTTTTAAAGGTTTGTGCAGAGGGGGTTGTAACTAGTCCTGTAAATGGTCTCTCTATAGCACTTGCTTCTCTTTCAATTTCAATAGATCTCAATACAGCATTTTTAACTGCAGAGTCTGGGCTTCAACTCCATGAACAATTTTACACCAAGATGCTAGATTCAAAACCAGGGACTTCCACAGATGCATGTCAGCATATCCACACCCAACAAATGGCAGGACCAAGGCCTGTCACCATTCTCAACATAAATTAAGACTTGTTAAACAGGTAGGATATAGCAACAGAAGGGATCTTAAGGAACACACAGGTAACTGCAATAATAATTCAGACCGTATCATTTTTTTCCCCATTTATTTTGGGAGACTCTCACCCAGTTTTTCATTCTTTAGTTATCCAAGATAACTTCACAGAAAACTAACGTGATAGAAAAGGAGCTTAAAAACGGGACGCAGCGGGGAGACTATCATATACGTCGTTAACTCTCCCCTGCCCCCGCCAGCACCGGGCTGCCCCCGCCCGGTCCTTACGCTCCTTCGGCTGGGAAGACAAACACCACAGAAGGAAGGGAAGCGGAACGGAAAGGCGCCTGGGCTCAGGCAGAGATGGCGACAAAGCCCGGCCTACCTGCCCGCGGTGGCTGGGGAAGGGGCGGCGGCTGCCCGGACACCATCTTGTGGCGGGGGGCGACTGGGGGTGAGGACCCTGGGCCCAGCGGTTTACCTGCTCTGCCAGCCCTGCAGGAGGTTGGTGTATTTGCTGAGCGTCCCTTCCAGCACCGGCTCCCGCCGCCGGGCGCCGCCGGGCGCCTGCGCGCACCCTGGACTGACCGCCGCCGAGCCGGGGCTGCTGCCGCCGCCGCCACACCCGCCGCCTCCATCCAGCCTCGCCGCCGCACGGCCCGGCAGCCCGCGGCTGGCGGAGGAGGACGAGGGGGACGAGCCCGCCGATGTGGGGCGGCTGCTGCTGCGGCTGCTGCTGTTGCTGCCGCCCTCGCTCACCGCAGCCGCCTTCTCCATGGAGCCCCGCAGCACACGCTAGAAGCCTGCCGCCCGTGCCCGGCAAAGCCCTGATTCACAGGCGGCGCGGAGAGGGGCGGTGCCCGAGGGAGAAGGGGCCGGGCCGCGGCAGGCGAGGGAAGCGCCGCGCTGCTTCCTCGCGAGTTGCTGGGGCGAGTGGGACGGCAGCCGGAGTCCTCCCGCCAGCCCGAGCCGAGGCGGGCCAGGCCGCTGCCCTAGTGGCGGCAGCCGGGCGGCACGCAGCAAAGGGGACTGCCCAGTCTGTGTAGGCGAAGGGCCAGCGGACACGGAAGGTGAGCCCGCCAGAGCGCAGAGCGTGGCACCGGAACGGGATGGGGTGCATCGCTGTCCTGGCGTTACCTCGGAGCGTGACACCAAGGCCTGGATTGCCCACGCAGCAGTGCACTGGCACTGGGCAGTGTCCGCACCGGGGACAAACCAAGAGGCCGGTGGTGTGCCCAGCAGTCAGGAGCATGGCAGTTGTGCCCAATGCACAACATATGCTGCTGCCCATAATGTATATCGACATACCATACCGTACAATCATGGGAAGAGTTGGAAAGGACTTAAAGACCAGATAGTTCCAACCTCCTGCCATGGGCAAGGAAACCTTCCACTTACAGCAGTTTCCTCTAAACCCTGTCCAACCTGGCCTTGAGCCCTGCCAGGGATAGGGCAGCCACAGATCCTGAGCAATCTGTGTCAGTCTCTGAACACTCTCACAGTAAAGAATTTCTATCTTATATCTAACCTAAATCTTCCCTGTTCCAAGTTTGAACTCATTACCCTTTGTCATGTCATTACAGTCTTTGATAAATTGTCCCTCTCCAGCATCCTTGTAGTCCTCTTCAGACAATGGAAGCTACTCTGAGGTCTCTATGCAGATCCAGGCTGAAAAGCCCAAATTTTCTCAGCCTGTCTTCATACAGGAGGTGCTCCAGTCCCCTGATTATCCTCGTGGCCCTCCTCTGGATTTGTTCCAGTAGCTCCATGTCCTTTTTATGTTGAGGACACCAGAACTGTACACAATGCTTCAAGTGAGGTCTCACGGGAGCAGAGTAGACAGGCAGAATCACCTCCTTTGACCTGCTGGTCATGCTCCTTCTGATGCAGCCCAGGATATGGTTGGCTTCCTCGGCTGCGAGTGCTTACTGCTGGCTCATGTTAGTTTCTCACTGACCAACAATCCCTATCATCAGTCCTGTCATTTACCCAGACTTTGGAAAAAACACCATTGTGGGTTAAGTCACAACTGAGAACAAGATATGCAACTTCCACATAACTGTAAAAAGCTAAGCAGGTCGTTGTAGTCAGCTCTTTACAAAGCTGTGTGCTTCAATATCCAAAAATCACTTCTAATGGCGATCCTTGCTTCATTAGCCAAGTGCCTCAGTTCTGTTACAATATGCTTCTTCACAGCATGCTAGAGATGTGTTTATTCTTGTTGTCATTTAATAATTGGAGACCTGAAATACAGAGGAGCTCAGAGAGTCTATGGCAAAATATCAGCTGCCATAAAGAAAAAGAAAAGAGACAACCAGTGTACAAAACAATGTTTCTCATGAAACAAGAACCATGGGGCAGCTGGCTTAGAACAATCACAAGAAAGTATCTCTCATGCTTTAAACCCACTGAAACTGGAAAGTTTTACAGTCTGTGTACAGTCTGTATCTTGTGTTCCCTGTGTTCTACACCTCAGAAGATACTCAAACTGTCCTAATCCACATACAGCTAGAGGTCTGTATTCCCCATATAAATCAGAATAGAGAGGAGGGCTCCTAACTTCACTTCTTCCAGTTTTCTCTCTGGAAAATCATACCATATGCGTTGTGGTTGGGTAGCTGAAATGTTGGGCAACCTGATCCTGGATTTTGATGGTTAAACTTCTCACTTTTTAGCTAATACTGAGGCAGTGCAGTCTGGAAACTTGAATTTTAATGTAGTATTTCATTGGTGGAACATTTAATGCATGTCTCTTGCAGTACAGGCAAAGATTATTAACTCGGTTATTTTTTAGAACAAAATAACTTAGAGTAACTACTTTTCCAAGTCAGAGCTGTTACTTGAGATATTCAATGGAACAGTGTTCCACTGTTAACTATGGGAAGAAACTCCATGACCACGATCTGAAAATCTTCATACTCAGGCTCAACTACACCACTTCTCATTACCACAGTTTTCAGAAGACATTGGGACAAACAAAACATAATCCTTCAGAAAGCTCAGATCCTGCTCACTAGAGATAAGGATGAGATCACTTCTCTTCGTAATCAGTTAACAATGATAGCACAGAACAGTGGGACAAAATGATTTAATGGAATAACAGTGTCATCACCCTAGCCACTGCAACACATTACCTATATACTTTCTACATTATAGGTAGTGAATGTAATTTTTTTCTGTCTTCTACAGAATTTACTGGGAGATTATTATGTCAGGAAAAGAAAGCATCTTACACAGGTATAGAGATGCCTTTCTGCATCTTCGTATACAATAAAACTCAAGTGACAGTGAGGCACTCATCAGGGAGTTTCTGAAATGAGAGGGACAATGGGCTGTAGGTATACCATGTCCCCAAAATCCCAAAACATTTTTAACTGCTGCTAGAAGGATTACTGTGGTAGGATAATATAGGAAGTCCCCTTACAGGTTATAAGCTAGTTAACAGATGGGGTAGAAAACACAGGAATAAATAGCCACCACTTCTCTGAGTTGGGATCTGTGTGACTGGGTATCTTCTTAAATCAGAATCCCTTCTCATTCACTCATAGTTAAAACTAGAATCAAGTGCAAAAAACAGCAGAAGGATCTCACAGTAGTGATTAAATCACTGATAAAATGGAAGTTGAAATTTAATGTTGCTAAAAAAATAAAGCACATGGGGAGAAAATAGCTACTACTTTGTATCCATAATGATGATCCATAAATTAGCTATAGTCTCTCAGAAAAGAAACCTTGGAGTCATTTTAAATAGTCCTCTGAAAACCCCATCTCACTGTTTAAGGGTAATCAAGCAAATAGCTGTGATGAGCTCATTAGGAAAACAGAAACAACAGCATGGTGCTGTATAAATCTATAGTACAGCCAGAGCCTGTTTATTCCGCATTTATAATATTCCTTCTTTAAGAATAGAGTAAAAAGAGAAAAGGTATGAACGCCAGCTTTTCGATGTGGAGAGAGCTAACTGAACAGGGTTTCCAGGTGGAAGAGACAACTAGTGTACAAAATGTGTTTCTCATGAAAAAAGAACCATGGGGCAGCTGGCTTACAACAAGCACAAGAAAGTACTTTTTCACACAATTTGTACTTGTAAAACTCCTTGTTGTGAGATGGTTTGGGATGCCAAACAAAGCAATTGTTTTTGAAGAATCTTTAAACAACATTGACCAAAGTGTTTTGGATATATTTGGATAAGTTCAGAAAGACCCCAAACTTCTGATTTCCGGAAGACTGTTTATTGATGAAATAATCCCTGCCCTGTTCTTGAGTCTTTCTCTGAGTACCTGTTAGTGGAAGGAATAAGTACTGGACTAGCAGACCTTTTGTTTAACCTATAGTGCAGCTTTTCACATACTAAGGATTCTTTCCCCTTGGTTAACCAGAGGTCCTTTAGAGCTAGATACTGGCACTCTATGCAGTTTTTACATGGTATTTAAGCAAAAGAGTATGTAATTCTTGTCATCCCTTTTCCCTTCCCATTATGTACATACTGTTGCAATCTGACAGAGATGGGCAACCTTTCATAGCAATCTTGCTATCAGTGAGCCCCTACCCTCATTTATTTTTAATACTTTTTTTTTTTTTTACTATTTATTTTTAATACGAGACCTGTAATTTTTTTTAGACTACCTAATGGTCTGTCCCAGTAGACCTAGACTTCAGTGTAATACACAAGAATTAATACTGCATGATTTATGCTTGGTTACAAGTATCCTCATTTAGATATTTATTAACAGCAACCTGCCTAATGAAGATTCTCACTGTTTCCAGGGTAACACAGCTGCTCCATTACAGTGATCCTTTAAAATGTTACTTTCACTCTCTGACAAAACCAGAGTTTTGCCTCTTTCATTAAGTACTCCAAAGACTCAAAATAACTTATTATTTATCTCACCTTTTAGAAAGCAAAACATCTGCTAAGATAACAAATTCAGTACTGTTTGCCCTTATTGGGAAACAGAGATGGTTCTCCATCCTTTGCTAAGCTACACAGTTTTAGCTTCTAGAACAAGGTCTGCTCATAATCATAATGCATTTGTTAATTTCTGTTTCCTGGTCATCTTGCTCTGGGTTTCTATACCTTTTTAATGCTCCCCTAACAAACAGTTTTCTCAAATTACTTTCCAATCTCTTGTTTGCACCTCCTTCTGCCACCAGATCTCCACATAACTTCTTAACATCATAATCATATGAAGGAATTTAATTATATGGTGTACACAAACAACTTCTGCGCAGTCTACATTCAAACATTGAACATACTCCATGAAAATGCCCCAAGGCTTACTCAGTTTTACTGTCTCCTTCTTCTTGCCCTACAGAATCATTCTGAGACACTGTTTAATTTCACATGAGCTTTGGAGGCTAAAGCCATTTGTCACTAAACTTCAAGCAATGCTCAGGGTAAAAACATACCACTGTGCACCTCTATCACAATGATCTATAGATGTCAGCACTGGAATGGCGCAGACATGATCCCTAAAGTTCAGTTCATGCCACAATCTCACCTGCTGTCACTAATGCTTCCCCAGCTGTAGACAACTGGGGAATGAATGCAGCATGTGGAACAGTGCACAGCAGCAGTATGTCCTCCAATCCTTCCTCAGATCCAGTTCTATAGATTCCTGGACTTGAAGGTCAGAAAGAAGCAGTGACACCTCTAATCTGGCCATTTCATAGCACAGTACAAGAATTCTAACACTGTGTTCTCTCATATAATGGTTTCACTTAGATTTAACCAGCATGTCATCCATAAGTAAAACATTTCTGACCTAAGGATTTCAAGAACATAGAGAGGCTGTCATTTAACTTTGTAGTCTGCCTGGCAACTTTAGCATTAGCTTTGCTGAATCACTGTGCATCT